AGTTTACACGTGTAATATCTACACTGTCAAAGCCTGCCTGTGGAAGGCTGCTCCTTCTTTCCGTCCCACCCCACGCTGCAGGGCGGTCAAACCACCCAGACCCGTTGCTTTTAGGGCTTATAAGGCCAGAAGCCTTAAACCCAAAATTTTTTTCAGATATGGGATTTCCTTCTTCTGTAAACGTCTCCACACCAAATCAACTCGAGGCCGCAGGTGGGCCACCAAAGGCCCCCTTTTAGGGTCTAGGGTTTACGGGTCTAGGGTCTGGGGGTTTATGGCTTTAGGTTTTAGAGTAGCTAAGGTTTAGGTTAGTTTAGGGTTTAGAGACCCTGCTTTTCAAACAAACAGACGGTTAGGGATTGATGTGTTGATAAGGGTCTCTGTGAGGGTTCTATGAAGAATCTATTCGGGGCATTAGGGCTTTTCAGGGTACAACGTTTCGTGTTTTGGGGTTGGGGCCTAACTAGGCTTTGGGGTTTAGGTTGTTTAGTTCTTGCGGTCTTCCTGGTTGGGTGTTTAGGGGCGCTCGCTGTATTTCCCTGTACTCTCTTATAACATATTTTTCCTATTATATTCGACAACATTTTACCGTATTCGGCAACATTTTATACTGTAGTCTACACTATTGCATGTCTTGCAACGTAGGTCTTTCCGCACCTAGCAACTCACAGCTGCGCACCCCCCACTCTCCATCCAGTGCACAGCGGCGTTACTTTGCCATGGCACTGAGAGGTTTTCAATGAAGGTCCGGCTCTGCACCCGAGTGCAAATGGGGGTTTCCGAAAATTAGGGGTACCTTATTTTGGGGTCCTTATAATAAGGATCCTATTATTTAGGGTACTATATGAGGGTCCCTTATTTTCGGAAACTCCTAAATGAGCACATGGCTCTTGGGGTTGCAGCGACCTGCTACATGGTGAACTCTTCAATCTTGCCTGCCACTGCCCCCAACAAAACAGCGCCATCAGAAGCCATAGAAACGTGAAGTTCAAGGATATGCCGCACTAACCATGCGCTCTCCATGTTCCGACTTGCACTTTCTGGAACCCTAAAGCATTCAACCCGAAAGCCCGCACCTTATAAACCCTGAACTCCAAGCCTGAGGATTCCTCCTTGGGGGAATCGCGCAATAAGGGGCGCTTATTCGGGGTTTCTGTAGGGCTTGAAATGTGTTTCATGGGAGTTAACTTTAAAAGTAGGGCTTGTGGGCACATTGCGGTGTAGCTGTATGGGGTCGGCAAGGGGCTGTTCATGTGCAATTGTAAGGAAATAGCACTGCACGGTGTTCTCAATGTCTTTCCCCGGAGACTTGGACAACTTCCACCAGGCAAAGTTCGATGCAATGGTGCCCGAAACGCAGGATCCCCTAAACCCTAAACCCTAAACCCTAAACCCAAAGCGTGCCTTCCGGTTTGTGATGTTCAGGAGAAACCTCAGACCGAGAGTGTGAGGCGAAGTGCTGACTACGCAGGTGTAGGGCGGGTACTCATCAGGGTTCTAAGCGCAAGTTCCTTCAAGTTCCATTGTGGCCTTGCTTATCATCTGCTTGTTAGGAGCACGGGTCCTTCTCAAGTAGAAGTGAAAGACTCAAGCCCCACACGTCTGTCTGCACAAATTTAGGGCTGAAGGCTTTCTTGAGAGTCAGCGCAGACATGCGCAAAACACGTAAGATTTGTTGGGATGCAAGGTCACAGGTATGTGAACGGCCTAGATAGAAACTACGAAGACTCCGATGGCAAGTCCAACCCTTGGGGCTAAAGTTCAGGGCCCTAAACCCTAAACCCTAAACCCTGAAACCCTAAACCCTACACCCCCAGCCCACAGTCCTCCTTGGGCTCGAAAGGTTGGTATGCCAGCAAAGGAAAAAGGTCGTACTTAAGGGCCAACAAGCTACATGATTAGGATTTAGGGTTTAGGGTTTAAGGTTTAGGATTTAGGGTTTAGGGCTCGTAGCTACCATCTGTCTATGTTTATGCACGCGTAACGCATGATTTCAAGACTTGTAGGGAGGCCCCAAGGGAACAACGCAATGTTACGACCCATAGACCCTGAAGCAGATGAGAAGGGTCGAGTTTTTTGCTGGGATTCTGCGTTCGGGAGGGCTTGGGCCACTTCAGGGTCCGGGATTCCCGAAGGCTCAAGCTCTCGTAATTTAGGGGGCTATACGAATTAGAATAGGATGGAATTGGGATGCTGTAGGCACTTGTTAATTCAATGCGGAGAGACCTGGTGTGCCTTGTGGAAATGGCGAGGACGGCCACGATGAAGACCTGCACAGTCATCTAGGTCGCATTTTGGAATTATTTATGGTTCAGAAATACGCGCCTTGTAAACCATCGTTCGCAATTTGGGAGTATCGGTCACGATATTTCTGGGGACTCGGACAAAGCAACGTGCTTTCCGGGTAGCTGCTTCTATCCCTGTACCGCTGGGCCTAGCCCCCTAAACCCTAAATCCTACGTATAGCTGAACAATGATTCGAACAGCGGTTTGAGTATAACTACCACAAGGAAACCCACGGAATGCTACCGAACATTCTTCAGGCTTCTATATTATATGCCATATATCACATCCTAATCCCTACACCCTCTGTGCCCTGAACCCTGTAAACCATAAGCTTAAACTTTAAGAGCGCGATTTTGAGAACGATCCAGCAACACTTTCGGGATTTCGGCCGCAGCGCACCAAGCCCGAACGGCTTCTTAGTGCTCAGGGCGTACAGTTGAGCTTCTCCGCTCGCACATGGTGTAGACGCAGAAAGCTAGAACACCACTATTCTAAGCCCCTGACACAAATCATGAAAAAAAACCCCGCTCGACGAGCCTGCATTCCAGCCGACGGCTGTCCTTGCGCCCAGCCTCGCTGACACCAGTAAATACTAATATAAACAGGGAGAGCCCATTGAAAAAGAGGCACTCATAAGGTTCCATAAGCATCTCAACTGCTTTTAATGAGGATTGAAGTTTAGACATATATATATATATATATATTTATCTGTGTGGTGTAGAAACAGCTCTGAAGAAGAGGCGTCAACATGAAAGCTGCGATTCGAACAAAAGAGGCAAGTTGACGCCTAGGCGGGCCTGCCTTGGCCGATTTGCAAATCCCACAAATTTAAGAGTATTGAAATGCTAGGTTGACATATATATATATATATATGCGTGTATGCTTTTTCTATATATATATATACATACACACACATATATATATATATATATATATGTATATACGTACACATACATTATATATGTATACATACATACATATATATATATATATGTACGGTGTTCGATTGTGTGCTTTAGGCTGCGCTGTTGAAAACGATCTGGCCCAAGAGCTGGTTGTGGTCTCGTAGAAGGCTAGGCTTTAGGCTGGAGTCGCGCAGGCCCTAAAAACTCAGGACGGAGCCGTTTAAGCCGCCTGAAGCTAATGGCGCTTGCTTATTTGTGCTGCTTCGGCGGCTGAAAAACTTCAGGGTACGTACCACAGTTGGGTGGTGCTTTTGGGGGTCTCGGCTAAACCCTTAACCTAAACCCCTACACCCTAAATCCCCCATTCCAAACCCAAAAACCCTGAACCTCAACATCCTAAACTCCTCAAGCTCCTGGTATGAACCCAAACACCTACATCTTAAATTTTCGACTTCGGGCCAAACGGAAGTTCCCGAATTTGGATGCGATCTAAGCAGCCGTTCGCACTCTCTAGGGCCAAAAACAAGAAGGTATGTGCCACAGTCATGGTCCTCGGGCTCCAAACCCAGAGACTCTAATACCCCTTAATTAAGGAATATACCTTAAATCTTATTAGGGATCCTACTATAATTTAAGGTATATTCCTTAATTAAGGGGTATTGGAGTCTCTGGGTCCAAACCAAGAGCCCTAAGGGCGCCCCTCTAGGGATCCATGACATCTTCATGCCAGAGCCATGGCCCTTGAAGTAGTCGGGTTTTTCGGGCAAAAAAGACGTAGTTGTGCGGTAACTACAAGGGTTTTATTGAAAAGCTTTGGCACTTTGGCTTCAAGGCTTTTAGGGTTTAAGGGTTCAGTGCCAGGGTGGTGGTCCTTAAAGGGTTTGGGGCCCGGGGTATGAGGGGTCTGAGAATTATGGTCCCGGAAGGCTTGACCGATACTGATAAGGATTTAAGTTTTAAGGCATTCGGCACCAAGGTCATCGTCCTGGGAGGGTGGACGGTTCAGGGTCTCGGGACTCCCAGGGCTTAGGCTTTAAGGCTCTCAGCAATGCCGAGCACGATGACCGGTTGGCTCCGGCTATACAAGCTTTTCTCCCCGAAGGCGGTCGCGGGACTACTAGGGACAACTGCACAACAGTGATTTCTGTGAGCAAGAAGGGACATTACCCGAGTAGCTTGCGAAGTTTCAAACTTCCTGGAATTATAGGGCCTCTAACAATCAGAAGAGGGTTTGGGATTGAAGAAGCAAAGCCTAAGCATAAACAAGGAAGAATATTGGAACTTCTTCAGGCTTCAATAATAATGTATGCAAGAACCCTCAGCAGGATCCAGCTGGCCCGACATGCCATCGTAATGTACTACTATAGGGGGGCCTGAATGATTAGAATCGGGTTTTGGGGCAGACTGTATTATACCTTTTATACCGTATTATACCTTTAATCAGGAACCCTCAAGAATAGTGTTCTTCATTCTTCCGACCCCTATATGGGGACTCGGAATCAGAACCCTGCAGCAGCAGCGCTCCCTCGGTCAGAAGTCTACATATTGGCTTTGTCATGCCTTCTATTCATCACAAGGGGCTCCAAAGATCATAAACTTCGTAGATCTCTTGCCTTGGGCCTAAACTGAAACCCCCGAAGCCGACATCCTGAACCCCTACTCCTCACGCCTAAACTACGGTTTAGGGTTTAGGGCT